CAATTATATTCATTCTTGTACGTACAAACGTCCCCTTGCTTTTTCCCCAGCCCCTGCGGCCACAGCTCGGGCCACAGTGTATAAATAATTATTTGTATTTTTATTTGTATGATAACCCACATCGTGGTTTGACGCAAATAAGTTTTCCCTCGAATTTTCACTTCTTCAAATCGAAGTGAACTTTCCTGTCACTAGGTTATTACCGTTTTCTTCCAACATGCTTGCATTCTTCCCCGTTTCTTCTTTACCGGGACGGTATATTAACAGCCACCGCACCGCATTGTAGAAACACTGAATTTTAACTGTGGTCAAACTGTAGTCAAACTGTACTGAAACCATCCGGCCCCTGGGCTGGGGCTCTCCGCATCACATTGAGTTCCTGCGGCACCAGAGCTATGGTGTCGCGCTGGCTTAGTGGTCAGTGTGCGAGGCTCCCAGCTCCAAGGTCCGAGGTTCAACTCCCGTCTGCATCCAGCTTCGCAAATCCAGCGTTCAAAAGGTACTGTGCACTTAATCATATAACTTGTAATATGAGGTAATACGAGATAAAAACTAGATAAAGGAAAGGGTCAGAGGGGGAAAAAAATGTTTTGAACCAAATCTTGAACAGTGCATTTTGTTTGCATTTACCACTGAAGTTTATATATAGTCGGATCCGAAGAACATTTGTAACTGAACTTCAGTTTTATCTGGAGACAGAGTACAGTTGAAACTACGCCAAACTGTGGGCGAACTAAGGTGTTGACGAAATTGGTATAGTTAAACTGCAGTTTGTCTGCAGTGAACTACAGTTAGACTGCAGTTTAATTGTGTTTAACTGTGTTTAAACTGTAGTTGAACTGTGTCGAGCAACTGCATTTTGACTAGAATCCTTCACGAGTTTTGACCACAGTTTGAAATGCACAACATTTACAACTGAAGTAAAGTTTGTTTAGAAATAAAATGCGTCCAAACTTCAGATTCCAACGAAGTTTAACTACTGAAGTCGCATATAGTTCGAACTACTAATTCTTCCACCCGGGCAAATTATTTCGGTTCCGCTCGTTATTTGTGGGGCTGTGTCTGTGTGCAGGGTAGCTCCGCGGACACTGCCGCCGCTGCGAATAATGCAGCTCTACTCGTGCCCTGTTCGTGCCCTGCTCGTGCCCTGCTCGTGCCCTGTTCGTGCCCTGCTCGTGCCAGGCGCGTGCCCGAGTGCATTAACCGCATCGTTCGGATTCATAATCAATGTGGACGGCACCGCGGCGGCGTTGCAGAGAATGTCTGTTTCAGAGACGCTCTGGAAAAGCGACTGCCGATGGGACTGTTCTGTCCTAATACTGCTGCCCTGACACTGATACACTGATAAACCCAAGTGTACCGGTCGTAACCGTGAATATGCAGCAGTGCTGCGGGTTTGCCTACTCTTTACACCCGTAAGGGGCCATGGCCCTTGCGGCCATAGGCCATATTAAGTATACAACTCCGCAACACTGCTGCGTATTCACAGTTACACCCGGTACAGCGAACAACCAGAGAACAATTTAGTTGACACAACCAATTAAAGGGTGAATGCTGTAGGAAAAAAATAATTTGGTCCTGAAAACCAAAGTTGGTTCTATTCTTTTCAGTATTACTCCCATTTATCACTAAAAATGGTCGAACCTGGTCGAACAATCAAAACCAACTTGACTAAATTATTTAATCGCAGTGCGATCAAAATTTCGTCCACAGAACTAAAACTCTATCCGTTTTAAATTTGATTGAATTTGGTCCCCAGAAAAAAAAAAAAACGTTTTTCTGTGTCAACCAGCATTTTGAATTGTTTCTAGTGCTACTGTCACCAAAAAAAATGGGTTCTTGGACCAAGCACATTACTTGATCCCCGATGTTCCAAGTACCATACCTGAAGGATCAAGTACAATACACTTGGTCTAAGAACTCAGTCTTTTGGGTGTGAACGTACAAGTGTTATTGGACAATATTATCATACCTCTGGTTTACTAATATTGGGTTCTTTATGCTTTCTTGGCCAAAGAACTGGAATATTGATGATGACAAATTATCGGCAGCTTAGGAGTAAATTATGGTTTGGATGGAAATGGTACTGTTCGAGTACCGAGAGCAATGCGTGCGCATTGCGCAAGCAAGCAAGCAGGGCGGGCCGGGCAGTGCGTGGGTCGCGTGGTCTGGACTTGCTGGTGTAAGGTGTGGGTGGGGGCCGTCCTGATGGATGGCACTTGAGCCCACTGGAGGCTACACCTGCTTTGTCTCCTTGTTCTCCAGGGGGAGCAGGAGGCTGCGGTGGTGAGAGAGGGGCGAGGGAGAGAGGCAGTGTTTGGCCGCGTCCAATCGCGCCATAATGGGGTGAAAGGAGACATCGCACCGTGACGTATGGGCGTCCATTGTGAGCCAAGGCAACCGCCCGCCTCGCCCTGTGTGTGTGTGTGTGTGTGCGTGTGTGCGTGTGTGCGTGTGTGCGTGCGGACGCGCGCGTGTTGACTGGCAGTGGATATTGGCTGCCGGGCCGGCGGCACTGGAACGTAATGAATGTTGATCCAGACTTGTTTGGACGCGGACCGGACCGATCAGCAGCAGGAAGAGTGACACTCCAGGGTCCTGCTGCCCGTTCATTCTTTTCATTTATTCAGCAGGCCATGGCGCGCTTCTTGCAATGCTGACGTTTTTCGATCATTAAACAGGAATAATGGTGTGTGTGTGTGTGTGTCGGGGTGTGTGGGTGGGTGTGTACCCACGTGGGCACGCTCTTTTTTTTAGCAGATGATACTTTCTAAACCCTTGGACTAAAAAAAAAAAGAATAAAGTAATTTTAGGGTGTCAGGTAGCTTTTACTCTCAAAACGGCAGGAGAATCAAGCGGAGACCAGAAAAAGTGTCTTTAGCGCTGGTGGAACCGTGTCCGAGTGCCTGAGTGAGTGTCGCTTCAGATCCCTTCCCTCACCCTGCCTAACAATACTAGGCTCCCATACGGCCGCCGCCGACAATCGGCGCCCGTCTGTGCCCAACGAGCGGTCCGCAACTAGGTTCGAGCGCGTACACTGGCCGCCCGGAAAAGTGGGAAGACCGGGAAGACCACCAGGAAGACTAAAGAAAACCGAAGAAGACCAATAAAATCGTACGCCACAAATGTGACGGAAAACCGGAAAATATAAGGGAAGACAGGAAAAACTTTAGGAAAGACCCAGAAATTACAAGGAAGACCAGAAAATGTAAGGGAAAACCGATGTAAATGCGAGAAAACTGCAGAAAACTGGAGGAAGCCTTTAGAAAATCTCAGTAAACCAAGATATTGGGAAAACCAAGAAAAAGTTGGGAAGACCGGGAAAACCTTAGGAAAACCTAGAAAAACTAGGAAGCCTACCACATGTGTACACCGGCAGACCGTACTTGCGGACCCCTCGGTGCCCAACAATACTGGGCTGCAGACGCTGGCCCCCCTGCCCTGCCCGCCCTTATATATCTCCTCTAAATTGCTAAATATGAGAGAAAATTAGAACACTCACCTATTCCTAAGTTTGTAATCATCTGCTTTCAATATCGATTCTTGATTGAGATCTTCTCTTGGTTTGTTGGTTTTGTTGTCAATGTGCTCTTTTATCCCCACGTGGTAAACAGAGTAGCCCAAAGGGCTAAGAAGGAGACAGTCCTCTCGACCAGGCCTTAAAGCCCCTTCTCGTAGGGACAGTATTGGCTATAAAATGTTCCACGAAATACAAGAGTCGGTTTTGGATGCCTATGGCGTGCACCTTCACTGTGTAGCTTTCTCCCGGTGGGTTGCCCGCACGTTTTCAGAAGTATAGCGCCATGTTCATAGAGATGGTACAAGAAAAGCATTTCGTCATTGAAGCATAGTCTAACTACAGAAGTGGGTGTGGCGGGCATATCATCCACCTTGTACATACCTCCCATCCTACTCGTAGCAAGATATTATGTGGAATTTTTTTCAATTATTGAAAACAATTTGTAGCTGTTGTCGCTGACATACATACATGGCGCCGGGATATAGGTTTTGTTTTTATTGTTGTCAGGGCGTGTGTATGGAATTTATTTATTTTTTGGACCACAGCACGACGATAAATCTTGGGATTTTTGTTTCCTTCTCCGGACAGTGACCGGGCGGGACGCGCGCCCTACACGAAGCGAGAGAGTGAGGGAGAGAGGCCTCTCGTTAGAGCAAAACCGATAGCAAGGGATTTGGGGGTTGAGTGATCGGCAAAGCGGGTGTGGCCGAAGGGGAGGGAGAGAGGGAGGGGGAAAGAAAGGGTGGGTGAAGAGAGAGAGGGGGGGGGGACCGCTGCCGCTGTGGTCAAAATGTGAGAGGTGCGGTGGAAGCCACGCCCGGCCGCGTCCAGAACTCCTTCCAAAGTTGTCAACATAAATCGGCACGGTCGCGCGGTCGGCATCACGGCGTCTATCTGTGTGTGTGTGTGTGTGTGTGTGTGTGTGTGTGTGTGTGATCATCCCGTCCAGCCGGGGAGGGGGAGGGGGAGAGGAGGGGATGTGGGTAGTCGGTCCTGCTCGCATCCTTTTAGCCTAGCTAGAGGTGGGCGTGCAAATATTTTTCGCGTACTTTGAATGTGTGTGTGTGTGTGCGTGCGTGCGCACGCGCGCCATCGACAACGAGAGAGTATGAGAGAGGTGAAATGAAAAGGTCTCACAATTAAACTTTAGGTTCGATTCGTTATTAGCCCGGGTGGGGTGCGCGTGTGTCGCGTCGCCAGCTCTGCCTGGCCGCCCACTGCTGCCAGCCTCGCCTGGCCGCTTTGCGAGCCGGAAGGGCGATAAATCTGTGGAACCGGATCTGTGGAAAATACGGACTCTGGCAAAAAAAGCAAAGTTGCCCTTCAAGTTCAAGTTTAATAATTTATCGTCGCCACATTCGGCCGTTGTGTTTTGTTGTCGTCACTAGTGTCGATGTGTGCTGCAGCGGCTGCAGCAGAGTGCACGTATCTGATGATGTATGATGCTGATGCTAACGAATCTCCTTTTCTCTGTCCGCAGGCTGTGATGGCGGGCCGACTGGTCGCAGCGGTCGCAGCGGTGACCCTGGTCTGCGTGGTCGGTAAGTATAGCACGCTCGCCCACGTCTGACTATGGAACGCCCCCCTCCCTCGCCCCACCCCATCCCGCCCGGGGAGTGTCGCCCGGAACTAGTCGGACAGCGCACCGCACGCGGTCTACCCGTCCGATCAATGTCACAAAATCCCGCGTCCGCCGTTTGGCGCAAAAGAGCGGCTGGTGGTGGTCCTGCGTGGCGTGAGCGAGAAAAAGTTGGTCACGACGAGCCCTAGCCGCGCGGCCGTGCAGGCAGAGCCCGTGCATGCGGATCGCCCAAACCCGAGGCAAACTCCTCCAGCTTTAAACTGGCTGCTGCCTCCAAAAGTTTTTCCCTGGATGGTATGGAGGAGCATTCTCGGTGTGGTGTGCAGGGGGAGTTAGGGGGGGGGGGAGTACCACACGTTTGACACGGCATGGGCACGGGCCAGGACTGCGAATTCACTCTTACTTGCACGGGATCTGGAATTCACGATAAACGTACGAAAGGACACAAACTTCCATCAGCCCCTAATAAAACGAAAAATATCTTTTGTTTCAATTTTAGACAGATTTTTATCTTTTGTTTTAGTAAAGCACATTTAATTCTGATGACGAGCGTATATTTCGATGCCGTCACTTGGACCCCCCGGGCGGCCTCAGGGGGGCGTTTCGTCGTCTGGCTCGGCGGCCCGGGGGGGCTGCGGGGCGTGTCTTGTGGGGGCACGACAGCTAGCGCGGGGTCCCCCAAAACGGGGGGATAGCGAGGAGGGTTTCCGCTGCCGGTCTCCTCAAAAAAGAGGCCCCCCAAGGGGTCGTCGATCCCCGCCTCCTTATCGCAGCAGACCGAGCAGGGAGGCGTTAGCAGCAGCTTGAGCGGGGCGGGGGGCGGGCTGGAGCTGGAGGCTGGAGCCCCTGGGCTGGACCGCCGCTGATAACACTGCACTCTCTTATCTCTGGGGGTAATTTTACGAGACGATATGGGGAATGGGATTCCGGTGCGCTCTGCTCCGCTCTGCTCCGCTCTGCGGCTGTGCTCTCAAGTAAAAGCGGTGTTACTATGTAACGGCTTTGCGGGGCGGCGAGGCGAGCTGCTGGGTGGCGGTGCGGGCCGCGCAAACCTGCAGCGCTGAGACAGTGTTGGCCCCTCGAGGTAGGCTGTAGTGCTGAAGATAGTCGTTTCGCGTTCCTTGTCGGTGGCGTGCTTTCGCCTCATTTCGCAGATGCGTTGTTTTATCGCTCATTTTACTTAAGTCACTTCATCTGCTATCTCTTCCCTTGCGTTGAGGTTGGCATGTCTGACGCGAGTTAGAGCCGCGCCTCTGCTTTGTCTCAATGGTCTTGCGTGGTAATAGGGAAAATAGCCTGGTTGCTTGAGGCGGGGGGACCAAAAAAGTAACATTTACTGTTAATTTAAATATAAATATTCTTTTTCACTTTAACTATAATAATTTTTTTAACGTTTTTTTGCATTGGCCTGTATTTGGTGTGCGATACTTTGGGGCCTGACATAGCCACACGTGGTTAGCTGGAGCCACAGTGTATATATATGTGTGTGTGTGCTTAAGGGTTTTTCTGTTTTTTCACTCCCAGCTCGCATTCTAATTTTTCATTGCATATTCGTCTATTTTCCATTCGCCCCTCTGCATGGTTGACACAAGGATCGTGCCGACTAAGCACCTCTCTGTGTGTATAGGTGTGTGTGTGTGTGTGAGCGCGCGCGTGCGTGTTTGCTAGAGAGAAGGAGAAAGACAGAGAGGCGAAGGGATAGGATGGGAGAGGAGATGAAATTGACTTTCACCCACCGATTACACACACCGCAAAGGGAGAAAATGTGCAGCCAGAAGCGGCCTTTACACGATGAGACACGTACACCGGGGAAAGAGGGAGAAGTAGGGGAGGGATATGATGTGGGTAGATCCGATACCATTTAACTAGTTCCTGAAGCCCACTCACGCGCGCCCGCATACGTACAACTTGACTCTCCT